TCGATGAATACCACAATAAATTTATCCAAAAAGGGCTTAAAGATCCGATTCATCAAATCCATAAACGCAGCCGGTGTATTGGTTAATCCAAAAGGCATGACTAAAAATTCATAATGGCCATACCTTGTTCTGAAAGTTGTCTTGGGAACATCTTCACTTTTAATCTTAAGCTGATGGTATCCAAATCTAAGATCAATTTTTTAAAACACTTGTGATCCTTGTAATTGATCAAATAAATCATCAATTCTAGGTAATGGATACTTTTTTTTCACTATCACTTGGTTCAACTGTCTATAATCGATACACAATCTCATAGTCTCATCTTTCTTTTTAACAAACAATACTGGAACACCCCAAGGTTGCACACTGGGCCCGATAAAACCTTTATCTAATAATTCTTCCAATTGTTGTTTCAGTTCCTTAAATTCTGCAGGTGCCATTCTGTAAGGTGCCTTAGAAATTGAGGCTACCCCTAGCAATAATTCAATAGAGAATTCAATTTCCCTGTCAGGCGATAATCTTGGCAATTCTTCAGGAAAAACGTCGGGAAATTCTCGGATAACCGGAGTGGTATCCAAATTTATCTCTTCCTTCCTATCTTCTTTGATATACGCAAGAAAGCCTTGACACCTTTTTCGAAGGAGGCGATTAGCTCGAACACACGAAATTAAATATGATGGGGAGTCTTCTTTGATACCATTGAAGTAAAATACTGGTTGATTTGGAATACTAAAGGTAACCATTTTCTTGTAACAATCAATACTTGCATGGTATGCAGAAAGCCAATCCATGCCTAAGATTACATCAAAATCTTGAATTTCTAGGAGTGTTAAATCAACCAACAATTCATTTTCTTCTATCTTTATTACACATGATTTGTACACTATATTGGTGTCAATTGAATATCCCATCGGTATGGCTACCTCTAGAATGTATTCTAATTGTTCTGATTCTACCTTTAAGTGGCATGCAAAATGTGGTGACACAAATAAATGAGTAGATCCAAGATCAATCAAAACATGAGCTACTTTTTGGAAGATAATAAGAGTACCTTGGATCACTGATTTTGAGGCCTAAGTGTCTTGCTCGGTGATCGCAAATACTCTTCCCTTCATCTGAGGCTTTTGAGCTATCTCTCCCTGCTTTGGAAGCTATTGCATCTGTAAGCTAGGACATTGTCTAATCTGGTGCCTCAATTTTCCACATTTAAAATAGGCTCTAGTATTCCAATAACAAGGGTTGGATCCATGGTCTTTCCCACATTTTTTACATGGTTCTATTGGGCTTTGAAGTGGTAAGGGCCTTGGCTTCTTGTTTGCCCTTTCAAACTGTTGTCGATTAGATGGTGTGGGTCTAACATGGCTTTTCTGATTTTTTGTCTTTTGGTAATCTTCGAAATCTTTTTCAACAATTAGGGCTCGATCCACTATTTCAGCATAAGTTCTCAATTTTAAGACTGATATTCTGCTTCTCATAACTGGTCTGAGACCCCTTTCAAATTTCTTCACCTTTCTTGCCTCATTGTTAATCATATGTGGTGCAAACCTGGCCAATTCAGTGAACTTGGCTTCGTACTGTGCTACTGTCCAGTTTCCTTGGATTAATTCCAGAAATTCCATTTCTTTTTGGTCTCGAATAAAATATGGGAAATACTTTTCATTAAATGCCTCTATAAATACTTCTCAAATCAAGGTTTTATTTTCTTTGACCAATACTCCTTTTGCCATTTGCCACCATTGTTGTGCTTCTCCTTCTAACATAAAAACTGCCAAGGCCACCTACCTATCATCAGGACATTCCATTACTTCGAATATTTTCTCCAATTGCATAATCCATCCTTCGGCTTCCAGTGGGTTTACAACACCCTTAAAAGGTGGGTTCAATTTCTTAAATTATTCGATATCACTCCCATCATTTCCCGTAACTGACTGTCTGGGTTGATTGTTGTTTTCCATCTAATGTTGTATTAGAGCAACCATATTTTCCAAGGCCTTGTGAATTCCTTCCATAATAGCTTCAGCTATTCTGGATCTTGACTTCGTCCTGGTCTGTACATGCAATAAATATTATTTTAAGTACATTCTTTTTAAATTTCCTAAGAATCTTAAACCTATTGCTCTGATACCATAATTGTCAAACCCCAAGAATTTACAATACTGTTATTCCTGAGATGTGAAA